GCCGAACTGCAGAACTGCAGTCAGCTGAAGTAGCCTGCAGTGCTGCATTTAACCACAGCGCCACCTCGGCTCTTTTTAAACAATTCCCCCAATACAGTTTAAATCCATGAAGAGAAGAGAGGAACTTGAATCCTAACATTAGGAAATGCTTGTGACAGGGGAAGAAGCCATATTTCTCTCTTCTTTTTCCCAATAGCGCGCACGCTGGGCTGACATCAGAGCTGAAGGCCTGCTGAGCTAAAGATTGACACAGAAAAAGCCACTGCCTACATCTGTGTCAGAGATTGTAACACTGTCATACTCATATCATTGGACAAGAGGAATTCAAATATAGCTTTAAGAAGCAGGTACAAATACAGCATGTGTTTAAAAAAACAGGGACGTGGGACACACCCATCGGTCATACCATGCGTGGGTGGAAATAGCTTTCTTTGATAGACATGGGACCTCTAGTAATCATGTTCTAACTCAGACAGGACATTGTCAGGAGAAGAGAAATTAATACCACTTTTTAAAATATCAGCTCCATTCCTGAGATGTAATGCAGTCTGAAGGGCTAGTAGGCAGTATTATTTTAACTTCTCCAAGTTAAATGAGAAGACGAAATTCGTAGGAACTGATGAAAAAATAATTAGCTTTGAATTTAAGACTAAACTATAAGATAAAATAGTAGTTTCTAGCCAGAAGAAATGTAGAGCATCAAAAATCTGCACAATGATTGCTTTCGGGACTAGTACATGTCAGTGAACATATTTGTTGATTTTGATAACATTTAGGAGTTTGTGTGACACCAAGGTTGTTACATTACATGTCAATAAACTGAGGCACTATCAATTTTATTAAGAACTCATAATCATTAACCACATTAAGCATATGAATTTGTCTTGCTCAAATACAATAGCTCAGTGTTTCTCAACCTTGGCAACTTGAAGATGTCTGGACTTCAACTCCTAGAATTCCCCAGCCAGCATTCGCTGGCTGGGGAATTCTGGGAGTTGAAGTCCAGACATCTTCAAGTTGCCAAGGTTGAGAAACACTGCAATAGCTGCATAGCTACAGTTCTGCTTTTTCCAGTACAGAAGGTTCTCACTTAACAACTACAATAGGAACCAGCAACTCCATCACTAAGGGGCGTGGTCGTTAAGCACAATGTCACACGACCGTTGTCAACTTAAGACATCGGTTCTATCTGCTGTTGTTAAGCAAACCACTATGAGTCATTAAGTGTGATGTCATATGACTGTAATATTGCAACTTCCTGCCAGCTTCCTTATTTCCCGTTGCTTATCAGAAGCCAACTGTGAAGATTGCAAATGGCAACGGTTATAAATGCGAGCCAGTTGCCAAGCATCTGAGCCAGTGGAAAGCATGAGACCGCAGGCAGGATGCCATGGAGATTCAAGAACCACTCAGAAGTCTCATTTTTCAGTACCGTCAAACGATCACTAAACCGTGACCCGTCAAAACCACGGAGGACAAAATCGTGCTCGACGAAAGCGCACATTTGACGTCATCACAGCGCG